TGCCTGGAAAACCCAAAGGCACATCTTGGTCCGTTAGTGCTATCACATATGATCACATTCCCTGACGAGATGTGAAAACTGAAATGGAAAACGTCAACAAACTCTGGCCGTGGTGAGGACTGGGGCATGCCCGCTGACAAGCGTGCTGCAATGACAGAAATTTACTTTGAGTTGCAATTAGTGGCACTGTCATTTTTGGGCGCTCCTGCCAATTAATTAAGCCTGTCAAATGGAAAAACAGCAGCATTCACATGATAATTTATATAGGGAGAGACTAGCCTAGCAAATCTGCTGCCGCAGCCAACAAAAATCCCCTCCGAGGGCTTAAAAAAATAAAGGAAAAAATATATATATAAAGAAGTAGAAAGGGGGACTGGGTTGCAGGGGGGAGAAAGTTAAACTGTCCTTGTTATAATTGTTAACTCTGATCGCTGAAGTAGAAGATGGGCTGATTAAAACTCCAAACGAGCCCCTAGCTCGCTTAAATCTCAGAGTCCGGAATGATAGAATCAGAGGAGTTTATTCATACCATTAAGCCCCAGAGAACTTAATTGAAAGAAGAGCATAGCCTGGACCTTGACAAGCGGGAGGTCACAGTAATTGCTGCCGGACATATTTAACATTAAGATAATCAGGCCATTAATTACCCTTTGGATCATTAAATCAGCCAGTTGCAAAATGAAATTTCTGCCTCTATTACTCACTTGAGAGACCACAGGGGTGGCTTTTAATTTATCAGTGAGCTTGAGATACAAAGGACCAGGCTTGGGGAGGAAGGAAAGGGGGAGGAGGGGGGGGCTGCTTCAGCAGAGGCAGGAATATCAATCCGCCATGCTTGGTGATCGTGGCAAATTAACTAGGTAAGATAACCTCAGCTTCTAAAGGCAGAAGCTGGGGGTATGTAAATAGATGAGGGCAGACAGGGAGATCAGAGCCTGCACACCACTTAGCAGGATAATAAAGGAAATCATCCTTGATTATCAGTGCTAATTTGGACACTGCCGGTAGCTTGTTATGCGTGTTCTGAGTAGCATTTAATTAATTCAATTGCTTGTTAATGAGGGAAGTGACATGTGGGGAGCAGATGCCACCCAACTGCAGATGGGTTCTGGTCAGCCCTTCACAATAAAATTTTCCTTTTTTTTTTTTGTTTTTTTTTTGAAAAACACCCTTCCCCCAGCTCTAAAATGGGAAAGGTGTCGGGCACGGAGGAGCATTCAAAAGGGACAAAACACTGACCTCATCAGGCCAAGAACTGCTACGGAACCAGACCTGGCAGCCTGTAGGTATTACTGTGTAGTGCTGCCAGGAATTGGAGACCAACAGCAGCCCTATGGCCAAAACGGCACCAAATGGGAGCGAGGCGAAATGGAGGCTCTTTACAAGAGTCCTTGTATCCTATAAAGCAGGGATCTAACAAAGTCAGCAGCTCCATGCTTGCCCTTTATCAAAATTCACTGCGAGTACAAATAATGAAGGAATAATTATTTTTATGGAAAAAAAAAAAAAAAGAGAGAAGCACAGCTTAATTTTTTTTCATAGAAGTTGCTCACCGGCATAATGGACGTTAGCCTTGAAACAGCAAGCCAGACTTCAGCTTAGAACTGTAAAAGTCTGCTAAATATAGTCCAACTGCATAATGTTTTTTCTGACACCATTAAATTCCGTTCATTAGCGAGTGAGGGATCAAACTGGATCTCACATCTTAGGGTCAAAGTCAATTCCTAACACTGCCAGCTCCCAACTCAAGGCTTCCCATACAGTGTTAAGAACCCTCCTGTTTTCTTATGACCTTTGTTAACCAGGATAAACACAATAACTGCTATGCAAACAAACCACCTGAGCGAAATCGCAAGGATGCTGTGGCAGGAGCCTGCAGTGACTGGGAAGTTGTATTGTCCATCCAGACCACTTCTTCACAACAGGAAGCTCTGGAATGGAAGCATTACATACATCTTTGATTTTTAATACTAAAAATCTTTACATCTCCATATTTTTTCTCTCCTGACATCCATGTTAAACAGAAACTCTGTGTTTTCAAATGCATTTGTTTTTACTACATGAGCTGTATCAACCAGAATACAAAAACCAGGCTGTAGAGTTGACTGCAATGCAAACCACAACATCCAAGCTCCATTTGAAGTGCTGCATGGGGCTGCCTCAGCAGAGCTTAAAACTATGGCTGATGTGAGGGGCAGCTAACAGCCAAGCTTCTATGAACTGCTCATCCATCACTTCTGGAATACATTTTTAATGGAGTCAGAGGTTTCTTTCTACTTAGGAATATTCCCCAAAAGATGCTGAAACTGTGGGGAGCCCTTCAACTTCCAAATCTGCAGAGCTAATGCAAATTTCGAGCATCGCTTCAGCAGAAGAACAAAAAGCATGGCTGGGATATGGTATATATACTGGATGTCATGCTGCCCTTCCCTGTCCTCCTGGCCAGAAGCTTCCAGATGGAGGTGGAGGCAGCTTCGCTGCTTGTGTAACCCAGCACTCCCAAGAAGATGGAGACAGAGAGCTCAGAGAAAGAGAGGGAGGACCAGGGAGCAGATAAGCTCCTCCTGGAGTGGGCAGAGGGATGGTGACAGCTCAACTCTTTTAGGAAAGGCCACCATCGTCTAAGGAACCCAATGGTGCCAATGGGACTGCAATCTAGAAACCATATGGGCAAGAATAGTATACAGAGAAAGCAAAGCATATGAGGAGTGTCCAAAAGAAAGTTAGTGTCTGGCAGGAGTTCTACACACTGGTCCAAAAGGCCCAGGCAAAACAAGGCAAAGACAGCCCAAAAGCTGATCTTCAGAGCCTCACATCATCTCGGGCATTCCTCCAGACAGCAAGCTCGGTCTCAGCCCCAACTGAGCTGCCCAAACTACTCCTGTGCCATACTACTCAAAATCAATGTTTGAAGAGTGTGCTTAAATAGTATCAATAGCAATTACAGGGGAAAAATCTTGATTCTCATCCCAAGACTCAGTTAATTGTCGCAACATTGATTTACTCTAATTTGACTTCTCACTCCAAATTAAACCCACATTACTGAAGGAAGGACTACAGGCTAGCTCTCCTCATTGACCCCCTCCCGTCCAAGACAATAAATTTAATATTGAATACACTTGAAAAAATGGCAGTTGTTGCAGGATCCATACTGAAAGATCTCTTTTTTTTTTTTCTTTTTTTTTTCCTTCCTGCGAGTAATTAAAAGATGCTTTTCTTGACTAATGATCCCCCTGTTTAGAAATGGGAAGTCAATACTCCTTCACCAGCAGTCAGCTTCAATTTGTCACAGGGCTCCCGAAGTTTGAGTGGTGGTTCTCAGGGCTGCTGGTAATTGCTGGAACCAATTACCAGCCTTCTAAAGCTGACCTAATCAGAAGCCCACGGATAACACTCGGAGGCCAGCTGGTTCCCTTTTCCTTCTACATTCACATATTCTCCTGTGCTAGGTTTTTCCTCTGCTTTGCCAACTTTTCTTACCCACCAGGAGCTCATGTTAATTCCTCCTTCCTTGCTGTAGCCATGCGAACACCCGCAATCTGAACTTTGGCTCATGCTACTGCTTTACATTATGCCTCTTCCTTGGGGGATCCTTTTGCACCTGTGCTCTCATTATCTTCCAGTTTAATGCTAGATGCAATCCAAGGTGCTGCTTTTGATCCAGAGGCAGTGAATGACCCAGAGATCTGATTATTTTATAAACTGTCTCTCAGACTCTTATGAGATCTGGTGCAAGTTAACATTAGAGAATGCACCCGGCCAATATCCTTGATGAAAGTTGTGGGAGCAAGGACTTCTGCTACAAAACTTTCAGGCTTTGAGTTCATAAATTCCAATACGAGAGCCTTTCTGACCTTCAAAATACGCTTTCAGGTTTATCCTTTCCCACGATTTTCTCAGAGAAAGAGTTTTAAGTGAATATGAATGCACTAGGAAAGGACAGCAGCACGGTATGTTTGATGTGGTTCAAGTCTGATTGTTGGTTTGACTTACTTTTGGGTGTACAAAATAAAGTAAGCTGCACTCACAGATAGGCGTAGGTCAATTTTTGTACACACTGGTGCCATTTTCCTGGGTGAGATGCCTCAATTGTGCTGTGGCCTACAGCCAGCCATTCGGTGCTCCTTCACACTTCCCTCTACTCAACAAAAACACATGGAATTCCACTGCAGTGATTCTGTGCTGACTTCTCACGAGCAGAAAGGACTGCTCACGAAACCACACTCTCTGTATTTTCGGGTTCCCCTTAGTCTGATGTATGAATACTCCTTGAGCTTGCCAGGCCAACAGACAGAATATCTGTGGAGCAGTCAAGAGTCCTTCTCTGCCCTGGAAAGCCTGTTGATGGCTTCATCTTCAATAGAAAGAGACAACGTGAAAGAATGAAACCCTAAACTGCCTGATTCCCTCTACAAATGTCTATTAACAGAGGGTCCATCGTTGTGCAGACAACTTCTGGTGGCCGTGTGGGGAGAGGGGCACAGCAGACAAGAGAAGAGCTAAAATACATGCTTATCATAAAGACACACACGAAGGCTGTGTTTGTTTAAGGTCTTTTACTGATGCTTTGTGTTAAGGCCTTTCAATCAGTTGGGAGAAAGGTTATGAAGGTTCTTGTGTTCCCAATACTTTGTAGGCACTGACTCACAGTCTGAGCAAGCGTGTGGAAAACTATGGAGGTTAGATTAATGAGTATACGTAGTGCAACTGAAAAGGGGAGTACTGTGAGAGACGTGTAATAAGTGGGGCTGCACAAGGGAACAGGGATACCACCAAGTTCAGGAGAAATTCTGAAGAAAACAGAATTACTTCTCTCCCCAGTCTGATGGGGCTTTGGTGGGAAATCATTAAAACAGGAGCACACTGAGTTACTGCCTCCTCACACAGCAGCTCTCAGACTCTGGCTGACCGAGCAGCTCAGCAGCCTGGGTAGGAACAACTCCCCAAGAGCAAGTATCAGCTCTCTTACCCATCAGAAGTTATTTTGCAGCTCTCTTACCCATCAGAAGTTATTTTGCTCCTTTCCTTCCTGATCTCCAAACATCCTCAGGCTCTCCAAGTATCTCAGCTCCCCAGATGTATTTCTGCTTGCTTACTTTGAAACAAAAGAAGGACAGATGCTGGCAGGGACCTCTGGGTCCCTCTGGCCCAACCCCTGCTCCAGCAGAGATACCCAGAGCAGGATGCCCAGCACCACGTCAAGGTGGGTCTGAAGATCTCCAAGGAGACCATACAGCCTTTGTGTACCTGTGTTCTGTCACAGCACACAAGCCTGATGGTCAGATGGAACCTCCTGTGCTCCAGTTTGTGCCCAGTGCCTCTGCTCCTGGCACTGGGCACCACCGACAGGAGCCTGGCTCTGTCCTGTCTGCACTCTCCTTCAGGTATTTATAGACACTGATGGGATTCCCCCGAGCCTCCTCTCCCTCAGCCTGAGCAGCCTCAGCTCTCTCAGCCTCTCCTCACAGCAGAGGACTCCACAAGGTTCCTGCCAGCCCGTGTCTCAGCCTCCTCACATCCCTCTGGGGCATCATTTGGGTGTCACCTGCAGGCAGACTGAGGGTACCCATCATCCACATCATGATGAAATCTGTTAAACAGGAAGGCATCCACTGATTTCTGAGGTACTTTCTTGCCTCCTCACTTTTTTTGCTAACCCCACTTATAATCTATTTTCGCTGCTCCTAACAGGAATCCTCAGGCAAAACTTGAAGCAAAAGAGAAAACTGAACGCAGCCTGAGATGCTGGCCTTATTTTCTTGTCCTGTCTTGGGCAGGAGGATTATCAGGCTAATAGGAGACCAAAGTAAAGTACAAAGGGAAGCACACGCTTTGAAAAGGCAGAATTTCAGATATTCTTGTGCAAAGTATCATTTATGTCGTGCTCCAAACAGCAGGAAAAAGATGGAGTTAGTACAGCAAGATTGAAATTGCTCTGTGGGCAAATTTTCACATAATCTTAGCTTTATTTTCTCTATCATCTATCTTTTCCACTATGTAAGTGTGCACTTGAACACATAATTGGAAATATAAAATTAATCTTTATACCTTTTGTCCCTACAATAGTCCAGGAAAGAAAGAAAAATTACATCACTGACAAACTTTAACAGCAAAATATAAACATGTCCTACAGAAACAAAGGATTAAAATAAGCTCTGAGGAAGAAATGGAAGAAGGGTTGGTTTTATATAAGTAAGACTCACCTCCAAACATGAAAAACTGAGTTATTTAATCTAATCTTCATCACAAGTAATTTCAACGTATCATGATAATGTCTTTAATTTACATTTGAATCCTAACATGGTGTTTTTTAAATATATCCAATTAAGTGTACGCCTTTCTTTTTGATGCATATTTTCTGCTCCCCTCAACAGTAAAGAGCAAGATAGTTTTGTTGAGTGCAGCAGTGCCAGGTATTTTTGGATTAAGCAGAAAGCAATGCTAATGACAGAAAGGCAATGAGAAGTTGATTTCAACCTAACTGATGAAATGACTGTATTTACTGTATAATAGTATACGTGTATATTAGCAGACATACAATTTAGGTATGGATGAAGTCTCTGTGCAGGTCTCTTTGAATGCATTTATATGCACAGCCATTCCCCCAAGTAGCCTGATTAATGTACTTTGCTTCATTCTCGAAGACGAACCAAAGGTGGCACCACAAATTCATTTTTCAGTGCTAACGAAATAATGCAATAAGAAATAGTTGACTTTATTGCAGACAACAGCACAACCCTACTTCTGCACAGCAAGAGGTGGCACTGCTAGAAACTCCCAGGTTATAATTTCACTTGATCCAGCACGGGAAAAAGCAAAACCCATCCATACATAAGCAAAATAAGAATACAATTCCTTTTGACTTCTTTTATATGAAGGAAGCAAACACTGAGAGCCAAACCTCTGTCGTATCATTTGCTGCCTAGGGACTGAACGGTACTCAGATGCAGGTTGCTGCCCCAGAGCTCACACTCAGACAATTGTAACACACTTCTAAAGACAACTGAGAAGGTTGGGTGAGGTAGTCCAGAAAGTCTTCCACCCTTCCTCTGAAATACAGTCTGCCAGAAGTCACTCTGCATCCCCCAGGCCATATGTTAGTTAGAACTATTAGAACCTACACTTAAAATCCACTAAAATCAGCAAGTATTTAAAAAAAAATCTTCCTTCCTTTGACAGCGATCAGATAAATTAAGCATAAAAAACCTTCAGACTTCAGTAGCATAATACATCATGGAAGATTTTCACTGTGCTGAGCTAAGACTGGTAGGTAAAATATTGTTCTCGCAGGAAACACGAGCTCCCCCATCAACTTACGCCTTCATATATATCACATAAAGAAAGTAAGCAAGTCCAGCTGAGCAGGACTTTCACCACAGCTGTGATGAGAACCCAAAGACCTGACAGCCAGATGCAAATTGTATGGCAGTGTCCTGGGTGAGCCTCAACTACTGAAGGCAGACTATTAATCATAAACTGATAGTCCAAGAGACAGAACTTTGCAGCTAAACAAAACAAAGAAACTTATGACAGTATAATTTAGATTGAAGTATAACCAAGTGGGAGGGTTACATCTCCCACTGTTTTGTCAGTCAGTGAATTGTACAAAAAACTGTAGAGCTGCTGAGAAAACCTTCACAGGCATGAATGAGCATGAGGGTCACCTAGTTCTGACACGCATCTCATTTGATGCATGTTCTTCCTGGACTTGCAGTGAAGACATATACCCAATGATTTTTGCAAGTTTAAGTTTTTAAGTTTATGTCGTGAATCATAGAATGACCTGGGTTGAAAAGGACTGCAATGCTTATCCAGTTCCAACCCCCTGCTGTGTGCAGGGTCACCAACCAGCAGCCCAGGCTGCCCAGAGCCACATCCAGCCTGGCCTTGAATGCCTGCAGGGATGGGGCATCCACAGCCTCCTTGGGCAACCTGTTCCAGTGCCTCACCACTCTCTGGTGCAAAATTTCCTCATAATATCCAACCTAAACCTCCCCTGTCTCAGTTTAAAACTATTCCCCCTTGTCCTGCCACCTCTGACTGAGATGCCAAAACGAGGAATTAAGTGCTCAGGCTCACAGTTTACAGCTTACAGTCTTTGCCACCTGCAGAATTACACGCTACCTGACCACTGCATGCCACAATCATGGAGAAAGAAAGCATACCTTGTGGAATCTGATGAAGGTTTCATATGGCCTTGGCTGCTCTCCTCCCAGACGCTGTTTGCCAGCTCATTCCCAATTGAAGACATCACCTTGATGAGCTCTATAGGCCAGTCATCCAGGTCAAGAGAGCGGACTCGGGAGAGGTGTGTGCCAAGGTTTCGGTGTATACCTGAGCATTCGATACATATGAGGGCTCCCAGATTCAAGCTGGCCCAGTCAGGGTCTGCAGAAAAAAAGGACGAAGGCCATCATCAGTGCAATAAAACACCAACCAAAACTTTCTGGTTAATATTTGTGGGTAAAGATTTTGCCTCCAAACACAATGGGAAAAAAAAAATTCAGGTGTCCTTGTTCACAGCACAGTTGGGAAGTCAAGCAGAAGGCTCTATTTTGCCTTCTTAAGGCACTAATGAGAAACCCTAAGGGGGGAGGGATCACAAGAGATGCAGCCCAGCTTCAGTGAAAAGGAAAAGGTGAATAAGAAAGAAAAGAAGAAACAAAGAAAATATAAACTGAGGAGCAGGCAGCTTATGAAGAAGTAGTAGAAAAAGTCCCTCCTTGGGAATCTAGAGTCACTCGTAGCCAATTACAAGAGAAAAAGAAAAAAAAAAAAAAGAGTAGACACAATGTCTCTGTTGCTAACTATATCAACTCCCTTAATAACCATCTATATCATCACCTACATATGGCTTTTACATCTAACACACTATGGGGTATGTTTTCATCTCTAAGATCAGGGAGATAAGTACTAAGATGAAAATGTGATGCTTTGAACAGTCCCAGTTTTAGTGTACTAGCCAGAAGGATTCCACAGACAAAAAAAAAAAAAAAAAAAAAAAAAAATAACCCTGCAAATGATAAGGCTGAGACAAACCTGACAAAAGCCGGGAAATTCAAAGTCATTTCCCAAGATGGTTCACTTTTTGTCACTGTCCTGTGTTATTTAAATCTAGGTTTGTATGAATATCCCTCTTCAACAAACATTCACTTCAACAAACGCAATGAAAGACTTTATGGGAGGAATTTTTGGTGGCTTTTTTCCCACCTGCTGTCACATCTTTTCTTCTCTCCTTACCCTGGGCCTCCCAAAGAATGAGGAGACTATCACAAATGACAAGCAGGAAAATCACCATTAATTGAGAGGGTAGGCACAATTTTTATTCAAATCTAAACAAAATTCTGAGCCGGTAAGAAATACGTTTCCAACGTCCCCTTCTATTCGTGCAAATGTTGTCAGAGGGCTTTGGTGATATTTCCAGTTTGTGCCACTGAAAATTAAAAAATTATTTTTGGCAACCAGAATATGCGCAAGGAATACATTTCTTAGTTTTCTGCCATGTCACAATTGGATAAAAATTACTAAAAGGATGCTTCAAATGGGTAAGCATAGGATTTCATTGAAAAAGCAGATCTTCTTCCGTCAGTCTTCAGAAATGGAAATGAAAAAAAAAACCTGTAGAAATTAGTAGGAAAAAAAAAAAAAACCACCAGAAGAAAACCCACCATCTTATTTCACTTAAGGAGAATAACACATCTTTTGTTTAAAAAGTTTCTGTCTAAGGTAAGTCTTACCCTAGGAAGAAACAGCAGGCATTTCAGATCTCCAGAAATACAGAAGACAAAACACCTGCCATGCTTTACAAGTCCTTGGGAAGACGAGCACGAAACATTCCTTTCCTGCATATTTGTCCAGGTCACCTCCATGAGTTACTTGCAGTGCCTTGCAGACAGAAGGGGAACTCGAGCAGTATGTGTGAAATACACTAACGTGCTAATTTGTGTGTAAAAGCTTAAATGGGGCAGATATTCGTTTTGAATTGATAAACTGAGACTTGGAATGAAATCTCTGCCCCTGACCTGCAAAGGGTTATCTTCATAGATACAAAAGGTGTCAGGAGCTGAAAGAAGCACTAACTTGGAATGAAGCAAGAGAAAAATTACTGATTAATATTTTTACATGCCTCACTGTGTTAACATCCACTGTTTGGTCCCCATCAACATTCAGCAAGCGTTGGTACTCAATGGGTGCTATCTTTTCTGCATGGAGGAATTCAACTGCACTTTTTTTTGCTTCATATGCCCTTCCACGTCCGATGCCATTCTGTCAGCCTGTCCCTAAGCTGCCATCTGTCACACAGCAACAAAACATGATGGGATGTGGTGGGAAGGTTCAGCCTCTACTGCCGTACCACCAGTGTCTGCCTCTGATGTTGTGGGGCAATACGGTAAAACAGGAAGCATTACTTTTGGAGCAGCCTTCGTAGATGACCATGGATGGCTCCTTGTGAAATCTTGTGTTCCTGTCTGCCTTTTCCTCTTATCCTATGTAGTCAGGGAAGTTTAAAATCTCATGCTTGAACATTTTAAGCTGTAACTGGTTTTTTGGGGGCCAAAAAAGGGCATTTTTACATTGTTGAATACTTCCAGATTATAGTTTTCTCCTCTAAGGACTTCCTCCCATTTTGACTTTAACCTCAATCAGATGGAATCACTTGAAGGCCGAAGCTTTGGAGACAACTGTTTTGGGAGAATAACCCTCTCCATCTCCTTCATCACTGATGACATGAGGAGGCTGATGGAAGAGTTACCCATGTTAAATCATCTGGGTTCAGCATGGCAAAGAGTGCCAGTCTGAGCAGGGGCATCTTTGGAGAGAGGAGAAGAAGAGCAGGGAAAGGAGGAGCAGCAGTTGGTTGGGAAAGGAGGAGCAGCATCTTGCAGAGCTGGAGCAAAGAGAGAGAAAAAGGCCCAGCTTTTCAATCCTTTGAGAATTTTATTGTACATATAGAAAAAAAATGAATCTTGTGGTGGGTCTGCTGAAATTAGCACTTCAGTGTTTGGCTCTCAAATCCAAAAAATACCACGGTAAGCTACTAAATAGACCGTTGGCCTGGAAAACTCATGATGAGACTCTCGTTTTTAGAGGAAAGCAAGATCATTGATATTCCAAGCTCCCCAGGCATCTGAAGCGAGTGAGCCAAGTTTATCCTCTGGCGTCATTACAACTGGAAGAGGCAGAAATGGAGCTGTGGGCAGAAATTCAGCCCCGGGGTAGGAAAGTTAGGACAGGAGTTTGACAAAGCTCAGCTCAGGACTGCTAAAGGGCCAGCAGGCCTGCAGCACGCCAGGACAACAAAGCAGAAATTCCCCAGTGAAACAAAAGTGCTGTAATGAAGTGCTAAAAAGCCAAACAGCTCTAGAAAGAGGAAGAATGAGGCTTCTGAAGTGGAAGATTGATGGCTCTTGAATAGAACCGAGGGACAGCAACATTCTCGTATTCCTTTGCTGTCAAACATCTGGCTTTGTGAGGATGCAAATTACATCGGCTTGCCACAACAGTGCTGGTGTTTGTGATGCAAAGCGCTCTGGGGTAAGGCAGAAAGGGAGCAAAGGGAAAAAAAGCAAAGGCTGGCAACAAGAGCAGCGGGCTGAGGCTCACACCGAGCACAGCTTGACGTTCTAATGCACATCGCTTCGGAACTAGCCCAGAATTTTCAATACAGAGGCCTTAAAAGAAGGCAGGCCAAAAGGCAAGCAGGACCGAAGAGGGTTTGAATCATCTCCAAGAATATGAACTACGACTTGAGTTTCCAGCTGAGGTTCCAAAATCACCCACCAACCTCCAAGCCATACAGCCAAGCCCTGCCAAAAAGGGCAGGCCCATCCTGCCCTCTGTCTGCAGCGTGTTCCTGGCACATCCCTCCTGCTGGCCAGCTTGACCCAAGGAGCAATCTGGATGAGGAACAACTGGGCTGACAGGAAAAGGAGAAAAAAAAAAGATTGGAAGGACACGTTTGTCTGCAGTGAATGAATCACATTTTTCTACTCTGCGTGGGGAACCAGTTAGCAGGGTGTAGGAAAATGCTACCCACATCTGTAAGACTGGAGCAGCAATCAGTCACACTCTGCTCAGATACTTCAGAGAAGCCAAGCGTACATCTTGGTCACTTGAAGACCTCATCCTTGTCATACAAAGCACAGCATCTTATACAGCTATTCCTTGTGCTATACCAAAACCTTGGAGTAAATCTGAGTGACTACCAGCTTAATATGAAAGAATGTGGAGAAATACGAGTCTTTTTGGCCTACACACGTTAAAACACCAGCCGAACTAACATTTTTTCCTTGCTTAACACACCCTGGATTACCAGCCAGTGGAACATAAAGACCTTAATTCATCAGTGTTGGTAAACCTGTGGTATTTCCAGTGGTGATCTCCTCCGAGCAGCTCAACAAGCTGTTCTGACAGAGTCTGAGACCTGGTGCTCAAAGCCTAGTCCAGCCAAGGCTCGTATCCCTGCAGGCTGAACTGCTGGGGACAGAGCAGCTGCCTTTGTTCCTGAGCCATCAGAATATGAATATCTGACAATTTTCAAAAGAATCAATTAAAATCAATCTGTGTGTGAAGAACATTTTGATGGCGTGGACTGGAAACGCTTGTTAATGTGCTAACCACCTTCCTTCAGCCCTTTTGAGGATGAAGCAGGGGACAACAGGTTTGCTTGCTCTGTGGATGATCGAATCAGCTCCATTGCCAGCTATGCAGACAGGAAATTAATCATGCAAAAGCACTTGCACATCTGTATGAATGTTCATTTTAAATTTAACTGGGAAGTTTAAATGGTTTGAGACAAGGAGTCAAAATCCTAAGCAGTCAGTCTTAAAAAAAAAAATTAAAAAAAAGTACTCAAAGAAAAATAAATGAATATTTTTCCATTTTAAGCACATGTAAAATCACAAGAAAAGTTCTGACTTACAGATATCAAAGAAATAAAAATGCAGGAGTTCTCAGTCCTTCTGCTCCTACAACTAATTGCTTTAGAGCAAGAGTACTTCCTTTTTATGGCTTTGTTACAAACCTCTGGAACTAAAGAGCAACAGAATAATGACCTCAGCTGGGGTTAGTGAGGTGAAGAGCAGCTCAAAGTATTCTTGAGAACATTTCTGAACATTAGATATGTGTTAAAAAAAAAAAAGAGGGAAAGAGACACAGAAAGGAAAAAACTCTCCAATCAGTTTTCTGGTATCCACA